CTTACATGACAATAGGGACTTTACAGATATGATTAAGGAACCTAAAAAGAGAAGATTATGCTGGGTTACACAGATAGGCACAATGTAATCGCAAGAAGGATGGACAAGGATTAAAGTCAGATAAGTAGATGTAATGAGGGATGAAGAGGTCAGAGACAAAGACTGGAAGATGTTACACTTCTGGCTTTGAAAAAAATTCAAGCTATTCCAAGTGAAAACAGAAAGCTATAATTTATTATAATATTCAAGAGCATATGTAGAATTAATATTGAAAAGATATAACCTAAATCCTCAACAGTTTATTCCTACATGAGCATCATATATGATTTTTATTTTTAAATTCCTTCTTTACCTGTATAGGATCAGTATTTCCCAGTAGACCATAATCTCTGGACGAAAAGAAAACGGTTGTCCTGTTAATGCTGCATCCCCAGCACAGTAACTGACATAGAAACCACTCAATAATAACGCTCTGAATGAATAAATGTATGTTTTCAATATTTCCCAATTTATTGTATTTTAATTTATCTTTATTGTTGAAAGTATTACAGATGTCCATTTGTTTGTTTTTCCCATTGACTCCCTCCACCCCACACCCGTCCCTCCCAGGCCTTCACCACACTATTGTCTGTGTCTATGGGTTATGCATACATGCATATGTTTCCCAGTTACTCTCTCCCCATCCCACCCCCGACCCTGCCTTCCTTCTGAAATTCGTCAGTCTGTTCCATGTTTCTATGTCTCTAGATCTATATTGTTCATTAGATTCCACATGTGAGTGAGATCATGTGATACATATCTTTCTCTGACTGGCTTATTTCACTTAGCATAATACTTTCCAGGTCCATCCATTCTGTTGCAAATGGTAAGAATTCCTTCTTTTTTACTGCTGTAAATGTACCACAACTTTTTTTATCCAAGTAACCCATGGGCACTTGGGCTGTTTCCAAATCCTAGCTATTGCAAATTGTGCTGCTATGAACATAGGGCTGCATATATTCTTTCTGATTGGTGTTTTGGGTTTCTTAAGATATATTCCTAGAAGGGAGATCGCTGGGTCAAATGGGAGTTCCATTTTTAATTTTTTGAGGAAACTCCATACTGTTTTCCACCATGGCTGCACCAGTCTGCATTCCCACCAGCAGTGTACCAGGGTTCCCTTTCTAAATGTATCATACAAGACAAAAAGAATATAAATGTAAAATGGCATTTTTAAATATTCAACTTCACTAGTAATCAAAAAGTTAAAATAATTTCACCTAATAAATTATGTCAGTTTAAATGTTATATTAGCATATTTATGGTAACACAATTTATTGGATATATCCCTTTAAAATATAAGTTGACAATATCATCAACTTTTAAAATGTCCATGCTCTATAACTAATGTACTCATTCAACAAATGTTTATTGAGCATCCACTATGCAACAATCACTATTCTAGGTGCCGAGAATATAGTAGTGAACAACATGGGAAATAAGCAAATCCCACACAGAACAAACAAAAATATATCCACCCTCAAGGAGCTTACATTTTAGAAGGGGAGGTAGTTGATTAAAAACATAAACAAGTAAAATACACAGTATAATAGGCAGCAATACATGCTAAGAGGAAAATAAAACAATAAGGGGGATAGGCAGAATGGGCAGAGACTGCAGTTTTCTATAGTGGTCTGAGAAGATGATATTGAAGACAGCAATGGAATATTCCATGGCCATAAAAAAGAAGAAAATCTTACCTTTTGTGACAGCATGGATGGACATGGAGATAATTATGCTAAGTGAAATAAGCCAGTCAGAGAAAGACTTATATGTGGGATCTAATGAACAAGATAAACGGATGAATTAAATAGAAACAGAGGCATGAATATATGGAACTGACTGAGAGCTGTCAGAGGGGAGAGGGAGGGTGGACTGGATGAAAGGTGAAGGGATTAGCCAAAGAACATATATGTGTAACCCATGGACACAGACAACAGTGTGATGATGGACAGAGGGAAGAGAGTCAGGGTCTGGTTAGAGGTGAGTAAAAGAGGGGGAGGGAAATGGGGACATCTGTAATAATGTCAACAATAAAAATAAAGTAATAAAATAAAATAAAGACAAGGGACTAGTCATGTGGCTCTCTAGAGACAGCATTCCAGACAGAGGGAACAGCAAGTACAATGGCCCTGTGGCTCAGATGTTCTTGGTGTGTTTACTGGTAGCAGGGAGACTATCATCCCTAATCCACTCTCAAGGAGTTAATATTGGTAATAGGACAATGTGCACCTTCCCAACCTTTTTCTAAGATCAAACTATACACACACACACACATGCTGTATGTATTTGTCCAAATATGAAACCACTAGAATAAAAGTCAATCCCCCATCATTTTCCCTATGAGAAAATCCAAAATTAGATTTATGAACATTTTCATTATAAATGATGAAAGAATATAGCTGAAATATTCAAGTAATGTCATATTATGTAACATTAATTTAGCACAGAGGCAGCAGGAAGGCTCTGTGGATCACAGGGTCAGCCAAGGAAAGCTACTCTGAAGAGGCCACATACGAACCAAGACATGGAAAATGAAATGCATCTGCTTTGGAAAAGTCTGGGGTTAAAGCACTGTGGATAGAGACTATAGCAAAGGCCAGAGTGTGGCAGGAACATGAGGGTTTGAGAATATAGGCAAAGAAGACCAGTGTGCCTGAAAAAGAGAACCAGAGGCAGACAGAAGCCAGATGTCACAGGCCTAGTAAGAATATGGGACTGTGATTCTACTAGTAACCTCAAATGGAAGCCAGTTAAGCAAGGAAGTGACATGATCCAGTTTACTTTGCAAAAAGATCATTCTGTTACTATGTGGAGAAAGGATGGAGTGAGAAAGCAGAGTGAAAGCAGGGGAACAGTGAGGAAATTACTTTAATATCTTACCTAATAATAGACAAACATGTAAATTGACCATACTTTCGCTACACTAACCAGCCAATCAGGAGAGTATGCAAATTAACCTAACAAAGATGGCGGTTAATTTGCATATGTAGGCTCCAAGCGGTGGAGCAAAGCCTCGCGGCCCATGGGCCAGCGGAGCAGCAAAAGCCTGAACTGGATAATACCAATTCTGAAGACTATGTAGTTCATAAACCTCTGAAAAGCAATTAGTTATTATTATCAAAAGCCTAAAAAATATTCTCATAATTTTCAACTTAGTAACTGGCACAAAATCAAGTCTTTTGTTGTTGAATGAATTAATTCAACTTTTAGAAAACATGCTTAACGAGAAAATCAGGATTTATGCTCCAGGATATAACGAGCACATTTATCCTTGCAATACCCAACACTTACGGAGTGGCTGAATGACAGCATATGGTGAAGTGCTGAGCAACATTTAAAATCGCGTTTCAAGATCTGAGGGAAAACTAACTAAGGAAGCAAATTGTACTGGAGTTTTGTTTTCATGCTGGTAAGTTTTGATATGACAACTGAACAGGGGAGAGCTAGCAAATAATTGGTAATAAAAATTTAACAATAATCTAGTCTAAAATCAAAACAATGCATATTTTCAGAAAACTTACATGCTCAACTCATTCCACATTGTCTGTATCCTACACTATTCAGTCTCTTGTTACCCTTGGTACTAAAAAAGGAAGCAGGGACGTTTCAGTTTTGTGGTTGTCTTGGTAATTTAAGTATAAACATGCACAAAGTCTATTTGTCTCTCTGTCTCCAGTGCCCAGCACAGGACCTGGCACAGAACTGGGACTTGCTCAATCCATCTTTTCGGAATGAAAATCACCAAAAAAAAAACCCAACCTTTTCAGTCCCAACTTAGCACCGATAATTTTAAAACGTCAAACTGGAAGAGGTCCATGAAAGCTATAGTGCTAATAGTAATTGATAATATTGTGAGCGGCTACAATCTACCAGGCATCATTAAACTGTATGCTCCCTCTTTCACTCCTCACATTAATCCTCTCAAAGAATTACTTTGCACATTTTAAAGCCAGGGAACAGGTTCAAAAATGGTAAAGAACCAGCCCAAGGTTACAGAGCAACTGAGTTCGAACTCGACCCCTCTCGCGCCGAAACGCACCGAGACACGCTGCACCACGAAGGGTGTGGCTTCTCAGTGATGGGAAGGGACCCGCTCTCAGGGTTCACTGTTTCTACCGGGAACCGCAGTGATCCCCTACAGTGGTTCTCAACTTTCCTAATGCCTCGAGCCTTTAATACAGTTCCTCATGTTGTGGTGACCCCCAACCATAAAATTATTTTCGTTGCTACTTCATAACTGTAATTTTGCTACTGTTAAGAATCGTAATGTAAATATCTGATATGCAGGATGTATTTTCATTGTTACAAACTGAACACAATTAAAGCATAGTGATTAATCACAAAAACAATATGTAATTATATATGTGTTTTCCTACAGTCTTAGGTGACCCCTGTGAAAGGGTCGTTCAACCCACAGGTTGGCAACCCACAGGTTGAGAACCGCTGTCTTATAGGATTGTTCTGAGGCACAAATAAGATGATTTTCTAAAAGCATTATGCATAGAAATAAGACATTATTAAATAATTATTATAGAATTTTATTATATAATTTAAATTATATGATTATACAGTGGCCCAGTGCACAGATTCATGCACATTGAAAGGAAGGTAATTAGAAGAAATATTTTAATATTGCTATTTGCCCTTTCTCTGTAATGGAAGTGTCAGCACTGCCCCCTCACCTCACCATTCCACCTACGGGGTGATCGATCGGGGCCGGGCCCCCCCACCTGGCTCCCTCAGCACCTGGGAGTTGGGTGGCAGGCCTGGCGCCCACGGCTCACCTGCTCCACCATCCTGCCGTGGCCCAACTCTCGTCAGGGCCCATTGGGGCCTGCAGTGCCTCCACTACCGCCCACTACCAGCACTGTGTCACCGAAGCCCGCCCCGCTCCTCCCCTCGCTGGAGCCAGAGCTCCGAGCAGCGCCCGGGAATGGAGGCGCTCGGTGCACTCTCACCTCTCAGCGCCTGGTGCATGCCCCCCACGCCGCTGTACAGCTCCAGCACCCGCAGGGGTTCCATCCCCACGCCGCCACCGCCACCCCGGAACTAGGCCTGCTGGTCCCCCAACTTCTCCTCCCTCCGCCGGCGCTGCGCCCTGGCCTCGGGTTCCGCGGCTTTTCAGTTCCGCCCCTTCCTGCAGCTCAGGCTCAGGGCTTCACCTGGCAGCTGGGGCCTGGGACTGGCAGGGGCCGACAGGGGACACAGGGCATGTAACAGTGAGGTCTCACCAGTGAATAGCAGCCGCTCTGTGGTCTCATGTGCGCTTCGTCACCCTTCCAAGTGTTTTCCAGGGCCTTGGGAAGGAAGAAATCTGGAGCTCAGTGGAGGGGCAAAATTTGCCTTTGCCTCAAAATCATTGGAATCCAGAAAACTGAGATCCTCATCAGATCCTAACCAGAAAAAATAAAAATAAAAATAAAAATAAAAATGCACAAAAAAAAAAATTTAACAATAGTCTAAAATCAAAACAATGCATATTTTCAGAAAACTTCACTTTTCAGGCATGCCGCTTCTCCAGAAGTCCCTCGAACGCCTGAATTGTTCCAACCTTTTCCCATTAGCCTGGAGCACCTAACACGTGCTTGGGTCATGGCGATAAATCTTACCGGCCTCTTCCCCAGAGAAGGTCCCAGAGTTACACGTAGGGAAGTAGCACCTGTGCAGCAGAGCCCTGGTGCCTGCTATCATTGTTAGCGGCGCTACTTATATTTTAGCTTGGAAAACACCCTCCATAGGATATGCGGTCAGTGCAATATAGGACTATTTATGGTCCTCCAAGTGCTAGGGCCTTGCTTCTCCCGGATGGTCCAGTGACCAAATTATTATAAATTGGATTACAGACCAAGAAAGAAAAAAAGGCTATATGCCGGAGAGGCAATGTTCTCATTATGAAGTGTCCCTGTGTTGTTCCCATTACCGCCTCGGGTCTTGTAAGAAAAAATTAGGGAGGACCACTTGTACTAAGTTAACTGATTTCTCAGAAACTTTGCACATGTGCTAACATAACAACTAAAAGTATAACTACTGTTATCTGAATTACAGAACTGTCTGATCCACATGTACTAAGTTAACTGATTTCTCAGAAACTTTGCACGTGTGCTAACATTAACAACTAAAAGTATGACTACTGTTATCTGAATTACAGAACTGTCTGATCCACATTGATGTGTCCTACGAATGTTTACATTGTAGACTGCATGCACCGCGAAGGGTGTGGCTTCGCAGTGATGGGAAGGGACCCGCTCTCGGGGTTCACTGTTTCTATCGGGAACCACAGTGATCCCCTAGAGCCCGGGGTCACCAGGAAGACCCAACCGGACCAGCGACCGCCCCTCCCCACGGGGACTCCCGTGGG